CCCAAGACGCATCGTACACACCAACAGGGGAAAGGCAAAGGCCCAAAAGGACATCCACCCTCGTTCAACTCTGGCCACAGACGCAAGCAGGGACAACAGCCGCAGCACCAGGGCGGGCACCTCCCTCATGCGGATCCGGAGGTTCGGCTGATGGTCTCCATGGCCCGCTCGACACTGCGCAATGCAGAGGCAATCCAGCTCATACGCCAGGACTACGGATGGCTCATGTACATCTCGAACAGTGCCACCACCACGACCCAGGCGATGCAGAAAGTAGCAGACAAGTGGCACGAAGAGCACAACAAAGGCACGAGGATTGGCCAGACACCCCTGCGCATATGCCTGCTTCACTCTCTCCTGCAGTGCCTTATGGAAGCGCTTCAACAGGTTACAACAAACATGGACTTGCAGAAACAGGCGACGGACAACGGATGGCTGGTCAATCAGAATGCGTGGAGTTTCCAAAAGTGGGACCCAACCTCCCAGAAGCTGATCCAGGATACCTCTCGCACCCCCTTGCCAATGGAAAGAGCTCCACTGGCAGTGAAGGAACTCTTCGAGCTGGTGAACGACCCCCGAGTCCTGCTAAGGTTCCGGTCCACTCGCCCGATCTCCCAGCAACGAAAGGGACCTGTTCTCTCGATGCTCATGGACATCTCGGTCCTGACCAGCGAAGCCCAAAGGGCCCACGAACTCCTTGCCCAGCTTCGCAGCAGCTCAGCGCTTCAACTGATCGGATGTCAGATCAAGAGAGAGCCCTTGCACAGATCCGCTTTGAACCAAGAGCTCCAGTCGTCGCTGGACGCGTACTTGGACTGACTCTCAGTAATACCACGTCCTTCTGTTACATGAACGCTTCTTTTCTCTTAGTGTCATGGCTCTTCTGTTTCCTCCCATGTCATCTGACTGAATGGCTGGGTACTTCAGGAGAGCTATGGCAACTGATCCTCGCCACCCGCGGGTCACACTCTCTTCCCATCTGAGATGGAGAGTCCTTCTGTCCTTTTGGCGCGAACGTAAAGGTCAACAGGATGCTGCTGAGTTCCTATCCCTGCTGGGTGCCAAGCACTGGAAGATGGGCCTCAAACTCAAGTGGCAAGCACGCTGTCTCGTAGAGAGTGATGTTCTAATTGAGGACAGTGGGTGGGATTTTCTTCTACGCATTCCGTCCGGGTCGGGCCCTCGACTCTCAGAGCAAGTGATCCCACTCACGCTGGACTCTCTGATTGCTGCCTGGCACCAACAGGCACGATCCCATGCACTGTGCGAAGCACCTGAGGCCATCCTACTACAGTTACCCCGCTTTTGTGTAAGGCAGAGCATGCATGTCAAGGATCACACGCCCATAAACATACGACCTGACTTCAGGTTGCCCATCTTCACAGATGACCAATCACTACATGTACAGTGGCGGACCTACACTGCTGTTGGCGCCATCTGTCATTTTGGGCCAGATCTGCACTCGGGACACTACAATTGCTGGCTGAGGGAAGGGGCCAGACAATGGCAGACGGAAGACAACCGAGAGGCTGTGGCATGCCGGGACTGTGCATCACTTGATGGCTCCTGCTATGTCATTGCCGCCATTCGTGCCTCTACTCCCCCCTGACTGGCCTGCAGGCTTGTGGGGTATCGCGCAGGGGCATGCGCCAAGCTCGCTCGACTGTGTATGCCGTCGTGAGAAAAACGTGGTATATGCTGTTGCTGCGGCAATGAGACCACCTTTCTCCCTCTCTCTCCGTCCACTCTTCTTCTTCCTTGACATCTCCTCTTCTCTCATGCATGCTGGCTGGCTGGCCGCAGACTGCCAAATTCCATCAAATGGACAGGCACCTGCTGCAACTCTGTGTGGAGCCCTGGCAGCTCTCGACATGTGCACAGTAGGTCGAGTGCGCCTCGCTGCACATATGACATATGATCACCGGCTGATGCTATCCCTCTCTTTTGCTTCTTCATCATGGCCAAGGTCCTCGACGTGAGTCCTCATGTTGTACATACGTGTCACTGAGTAGTCTGTGTGGTTCACCTCACAGAGTGTCCTTGAGACACCGTATAGCTGTGCTATATGCTAGGTCGTCGCTAGGTGTGATTTCCCACTGCGTCCGAAAGAAAGAAGGACGCTTCTACGTTGGATGCCACAGCCTCTCTCATCCTTGCTTTTTGTGTATGTTTCAATATCCCCCTGAGTTGGAAGAAGCTTTGTCTTGGACCTCAGGTTGTATGGATTGGCTGGTGTGTTAATGTTCGCGCAGGTTGCTTTTCGATTCCACGCAGCAAACGACTGAAACTGCATCTTCATGTGCAGAAGTTGCTGGCCGATCCGAAGGACGTGCACAAGCGGGATTTACATAAAGTGGCAGGTCTTATCCAGTGGGTTCTGGGTGCTTTCCCATTGCTGCGTCCATGGGTTGGAGTTCTTTACAAAGACATACATTGCCCCCCGGCCACAAACCACAGCCTGGACCCGCATTATTTCAAGGAAGTGTTCGATTGCATCGACGACCACATGCGATTCATCCGTGCTCCTACGGGTGCAGCCATTCCTGTGGGGGCGAAGCTGCTTGAGGTCAGACATCTCCCTATTCGCCAGAAGAAAGATTTGTTGAAAGTTGTTCTTTCCAAGCGAGTTTGGCTTAGGGTTGCAGCGAAAACTCTCCGCCAACAGTGTTGCTTTCCTTCAGTTTTGGCTGCATTGGTGCAAACTTCCGACGCTACTCCGGCCTTTGCAATTTCCGGCCAGAACTACCATGGTAGCAGCAGCGGACGCCATGGGCTCAGGAACCAAATTTGCAATCGGTGGTTTTGTCAAACTTTCGACGGCCACGATTTGGTTCAGCGAATGCTTCCAGCTGGTGGATTTTGCTTTTGCAGGGATTGAACTCAGTGCCAATGCATCCGACAACATCTCTTGCTACGAATGTCTGGCTCAGATCGCTTTGCTTCATTGTGTGTCTGCGGTTACACCTGGTGGACGAATGGCAGTTCGCATCCCAGCTGGACAGATAACAAAGGAGCGGAGTCAGTCAGCAACAAGCTGTTTACATCTTCGTACCCCTTGGGGGTGTTTGCTCAAAGACTAGCGCTTTTCAGCTGCTTTTCGGGTCTCGAATTGGACACCTCCCACATTTCAGGTCCCAGGAATCAATTGGCTGATTGGTTGTCCAGATGGAATGGTCATGATGCCTTGCCCGCTGGGATCCTGGAACAATTCCGCATTCGTCTCGATTTGAGACAGCTTTGGTTTCGGGAACACTGCACCTCCGTTTGTCCTACGGGAGTGGACCTAGGCTGGGATTTACCCAAGCTCCGCCTCTTCGAGATTCAGGACGACAACGATTCGCCAGGTCCAGCAGCTTAATGACTCCTCCTTTGGAGGTGGAATGTTGCTTTTACGGCCTCCCCAGGCTTTTCGGGGACATGCCATGCGATGGACTCCTTACGGCCTCCCCATACTTTACGGGGACATGCCAGAGTCGCAGCTCTGAATGCGGTCTAACAGGCTCGTCTCACCGTTTCAGTTGGTGGTGGTGCAGCGAGACTCCCCCTTTTTTCCTGGCAGTCTTTTTGGGGCTCCAGCAACAGCTTTGCTGCTCAGCTTCTTTGCTTTGCATTGCTCAGCCGTTGCACCACCAGTCAAAAGAACAGTCTCGCTGTGAGTTTGCTTTAGGTAGCTGGCTGTCGTAATAAAAGTCTTGTGAACGCACCAGTCCATCATGGGTTGGGCGGGGCCCGGGGCGTTTGCTTGGGCGGGTGGAAATAGTGTTTTGTATGAGGTATTTGGGGGGGCTGTGGATCAATGGGCAACCGACTACTGCAGGGTCTTCTGCTTGATGAGGCTAGCCTCCGAGGCCGAGAGGGTCCGCAAGGCCACGGATTCACCATGGTTCACACAATCACAGGCTTGATGTCACTTGAGAGCTTCATCAGCCTCGGAAGTTGTGCCTTTTGCACTGCACTTGCATGAGTGCATGGGGATGCGCAGGTCTAAAGGGTCTTCATGTCGACGTTGCAAGGGTGAAGCTCTGACCTTCGCAGCATCTATGTATTTTCATCGTTTTTTCGGGGGGAAAGGCAAAACGACAACTTTAGGCGTTGGAATGTTCAAGAGCGCTTCCCATGCATTCTGGGACAGGCAGGGTTTCCCCTGATACTCTGCCCGATCATATGAGTTCAGGGATAAGCGATAGACCTTTCTGCTTGAGCATCACAAGACATAGACACCGGACAGCGGACAGCCGTCCTCGTTCTTGTTTTCTTTCTCCTCTTGTAGGATTAGCCCGACACCGTAGCTTCAAACCCAGGAAAAAACTTGGTACTAGTCGAGCTTTGGTCGTCGAGCTTTGGTCTTCCAGGGGTTACGTTTTTACGAGCAGCTGAGGCCGCCTGTGACGGAAAAACGGCGGCTTGAAGCCCGCACCCTGAAAAGATACCAAGGCGTACTGACCCGGCCCTGAAACTGCCGTTAGAAACTTCAAAAACCGCCGCGGTTGCATCGGCCCGAAACCGTGGTAGCTCCCTCGCCCCGGCAGCGCCTTTTGTGCCATGTGTCGCTCATGCCGGCTCTGTCGTGGAGCGGTGATGTGTAAGTTTGTGTTTGTGATACATTTCCTGAATGTGTTGACATCCAACTCAGCAAGGTGCGGTAGCATCATGTTGTTAAGTTCGCACCCACGTGTTTCGCGCCGACGTCGACCCAGTAAATGTTGAAGGCCTGGAATGTAGAGCTGCTTGCATTTTCAAATATTTCAAAACAACCTTGGACATGTTCGTGCAGCCACAGCTGTAAGTGGCTTGGTGTTGGGGCCACCGATTGACTTCTCCCAAGAGCGCGTGCGACGCTAGGCTGCATGTTCAACATGTTCGTGTACTGACAACCCTCAACCCTAAACCCTCAACCCAACCCTAAATCTTAAACCTCAACCCTAAACCCTCAACCCTAAACCCAAAACCCTAGACGCTAACCACTAAACCTTAAACCAAGCCGCTTGGCGAAGGTGGACATGTCCAAGCAGCGAAAGCCGTCAATGCGATCAGTTGCACGCCCCGCTTCCCCATCTTCACCATCTTCCCCGATGATGGCTGTGTACACTGTGCCGAGTGGACCCGAACATCGCGATGCTCGACATGTTACCAACGCTTTGAATCGAGGACTTGACCAGGCCGTGAGCTGTGCGAACCAGTGGCCCAGCTCAACACCGAGGCGTTGTGTAGAAGTGCCAAGTTGCGTCGGGGTAGCGTTTTGCGGCTGTCTGTGCATGTGACTCAGGTTGATGGATCATATGAGGCACCAAATCACCGAGATGGGTGAGGAGGTGATGGACAGCATGCGCAAAGAGAAAGAGGAGCACCAGGAGGCCATTAAACGATTCATGTCGGAGTTTGACGATGTCAAGAAGATTCTCCACACGGGCATCAAGGAGATGAAGTCTGACAACGCAGCAACTGTCATGGAGATGCGAGAGGCGCAAGACAAGCATCTTAAGAGCGTGCGGGGGCAGCACGATGGGCTCCAGGAGGACATGCAGAGGAGTCAGCAACGTGGTCCAGAGGTAGAGCTCGGGTTTGGTTGGTTCTTGCCTTTAGCAAAAAAAGTACGGAAACAAAAGAAGACGGGGTGCCTGAGGCGCGCGCTCCTGGAGAAGTGCACGAGGATGCATGACATCCTTAATGCCCAAGAAGCAGTGTCACCGACCAGTTTCGCGCACAAAGTTTCTGGCAACCATGCTGGCAGATAGACTTTTCAGGAGACCGGAAGGGTTTTGGTGCAGGTTGCTGTCTTGGTCGATAGGCAGCCGCACTGCAGCCGCGATTCCATTTTCAGATGCTTTCAGGGAGGTAATAGTCGTGGTTTCGCTCCGCGCCCAGGCATGCTAGAAGGCGTGAAGCACGTGCAGGAGCGAGCTGATGAAGTCCTCCGCACGATGCGCCAGTGCTGAATGTCGGACAGTTATGTGAGGCTTCTGATTTAGGAGTCGCCCTAAAAAGTCATGAGAGATCTCGGCGATCTCGGCTTGTTCACAACCCTAGTCCCTAAATCGCCTAAGCCCAAGATCCTCAGCCCTTGGTCTAAGGTCCAGCCTCTGTGACGGCCATGGGGCTCTTACTCGAGTGGCAAGCAAGATCAAGGAGGCGAACGTGTCAGCCGAGAGGCTCGAAAAGGAGTCCAAAGCTGCCTGTGCACATCTGGACTCCTTCAACACAAGCTTCGGAGGCACCTCGCGTGATATCAACATGAACGTTCAGAGCATGGACAGAACGTTGAAAGCGCTGGATATTGACAAGATGGAGCAGTGGCTTCGAGATTTTGAGAAGCGCAAGAGCAAGATGGACGCAAGCCTCAAGATCTTTTCTGAGACAGAGCAAGAGTGGACGATAATGGCGGCGGATTGCAAGAAAGCGAGCCAGTCTGTCGTTGACTGCACAAAGACGTTTCAGACAAGCGCGGAAAACCTACAGAAGATGAAGGGCATTTCCGATTCCCTAAAGTCTTTCGACACTGAGTTGGAGCTAATCATGTCCGGCGTCAGGAAATGCAATCCGCTGCTCATTCAGCAACTACAGGAGGCAGCAAAGAACTTTGATCCTGAGGCCACGCATGCAAAAATACGTGAGTTCATGCAAAAGCGGGAGGAGGACATCACCAAACTGATCCACAAAGTTAATGAAGATGCAAAGCAGAAGTTGCAACAAGCAGTCACGGACGTGGCAGAGAATGCTGTGCATCTTGGCTCGGCGATGTGAAAGGTTGACGGCACATCATGTTCTCTACCGGCTTGGGGCTTGGGGCTTAGGGCTTTAGGCTTTCGGGTTTAGGGTTTGGGGTTGAGGGTCTAAGTCGGTGCATTGTATTGGGTGGGAAGAATGTGGTCGAGTTCACGTCAATTCCGGCTGTGAAACCTTTTGATCTGCCACCGAGGATTTTCATGCACGCGTGATGCCTTCTACCGCATGATATGAGAATGCATCATTAGATAGAAGAAGACGTGATCAGCAAGTTTTACATCACAGTATGGATGCCTATCGCATCGTAGGGCCTACTGCCACCACCACAAGTACTTACTGTATGCAAAATATCCTACAGTCAGTGCTTCGATGTTCATGGGTAGTTGTTACTATAGATGCAATTGGTCGGAAACCTTCTGGTTGGGCAAACATACGCTTACCTATCACGACCCAGGAACCGTTAAGCGTGGTGCTGTGTAGTGCTTGGCCATGCCTGGTGTGAAAGGCTATCGGAAGCCTTTAAAAGGGCCACCCCCTCGTAATGGTACTGGGGGGCGGGTGGCTACTCTGAGTGCCACCTATTTCCGGGACCTATTTTGTCAGAGTGGGGGGGGGGGGGGGAAGAAATAGGTACCGGAGTGGTGCCTGGGCGTCCATTGGGCAGTCACGCGCAGCCTCATGCTCTTGTCAGAGTGGTCCCCCCCCCCCCCCCAACATCAAAAAAAAAAACGGAAAAGGTACGGGTACCTATTTTTTTAGGGGGGGGGGGGGGGAGGACTCCCCCCCCCCCTCGAGGGGGTGGTCGTCCTTTAAAGCCTGCAAAGTCCCAAAATCTGGAGCCCTCAGGTTCCAAAGTCTCCCATTGTGGTTGACGCTTAGGAATGTGATGTCCACCGAGAGCTTGAAGTGGAGGCAGTTCGAGAAGTGCTTGGATGACGGGCACAAAAAGATGGCCGAGCTGGCAAAAACTGCCGATGCTTCGATGCCTGGAGGCATGTTCTAGGGTTTAGGGTTTAGGGTTTAGGGTGTGGGGTTTAGGGTTTGGGCTTAGGGCGAGCTGTCCTTCTCTGACAGTGTTGGTTTCCTTCCTCCGAGAAAAGGAGGAGCAAGCCCAGGGGGCAGCAACATCTTCTTGTGACCTTGCCGTTCCTTAGTTTAGGGTTTAGGGTTTAGTTGTTTCATGAATGTGGTTGTGTTCTGATCAGGCTGACACAGGCAAATCATGCCGGGTTGTTGGCTGCCAGTTCTGGAACAACGAAGGACTGTCAACTTTCAGGAGAAGTTGACGGAGATGAAGGAAGTAGTTCAAGACTTGGACAGAAAGGTTTCGCATGCAATCGATACCTCGGCCAAGTCGTGGGAAGAGAGAGCCCATGGCGTCACCAGAGGATATCAGGAAGCCATGGAGACGTCCAGAAAGGCAATGGATGCTTCCGTCAAGATGGCCAAGAGTACCTCCGAGAGCTTGTCCAAGAACGACGAGGACTTGGACGTTCAACCAAGCCCTAAACCCTAAACCCTAAACCCTAAACCCTAAACCCTAAGCCCTAAACCCTAAACCTTAAACTCTAAACCCTAAACCCTAAACCCTAAACCCTAAACTTTCAGAGCCCGCGAAATCCGAGGACCCTGAAGCCGGAACCCTAGAACTTCCTGGAGCCCAAGAGCCTTAAGTTGACCAGGACTTGGAAAAAGTTGTCCAGGAGACCAGAGAGGCAATGGAGGCGATGCGCCAGCAGGCCAAAGCGACGGTGAGCAAGGAGTCGGCCGCTGCGACGAACTTGCTGAAGCAGCAGCTGAAAGACGTCAGCGAAGAGTTTGATAAGAAGATGCAGCAAGTGGCCGAGGAGCATGAGAAATCAGCCGCAAAGGTGTCCGGCACTTTCAGCGACCAGCTTCGCAAGGCGACCGAGCAAGTGCAGAGCTCCACAAAGCCATTCGTGGACGAGATGCAGAAGTTTTCAGAAGAGCTTGCAGGGTTGAAGGGGATCAAGAAAGAGGTCGGTAGCTTGACTGAAACCACATCCCCAAACACAAAGCTCTTAAGTGGACTTGGTTTTAGTGTTCGCCCCTTGTCAACGGAAATGGATCGTTCAGGGTTTGTCATCTTGAACCCTAAACCCTAAACCCTAAACCCTAAACCCTAAACCCTAAACCCTAAACCCTAAACCCTAAACCCTAAACCCTAAACCCTAAACCCTAAACCCTAAACCCTAAACCCTAACCCTAAGCCCTAAACCCTAGACCCTGCAATCCAAGATCAAATTCTGGAGAGCGTGAATGGCATTGTGAGCAAAGGCAAAGTCCTCGTTGCTGGAGTCTTGGCTTAGTAGCTCCGCGACCTTCCGAGCGTATGCGTTGATACTCATCATCGCCCTAGGCCGAAAGCTTGAACCCTAAACCCATGCCCAAGCCAACATTCTTGAACGTTCTTGTGTTTTGCTTTGGGTTCTTTGGCTTCTCAGCCTCATCCTTTGACTCTCTGAGGAGTGGGCAGCTCGCTTTTGGTAGGGAGTCTCGGCTGCTACAGCTCCGAACTCTTAAAATCCTCAACCCAGACCCTGGACGTACAGTGTGGGGGATACCTAAGCCGCCTAAGCCCTAAGCCTTAAGCAATTTAAGCCCCAAAAGGCCCCCCAACCCATTCTTTGGGTTTGCACGGCTTGCAACCACGTGAGGTCAACTTCCTTGATTGCAGCGGCCACCAACTTGTTCGGCGGCCCCAGCCCAGTCGGAAATCACACAGCTACGTAGTATTCTAGGGGTCGTAGTAAACTCATAATATTCCCTTCTGGTCCTTCAAGAATTGTCGACAGAACCCCCTCCAAAAAAAAGAAAAAAAAGTGCTCGTGACGGTTGCCGCGCCATGTTTGAGGCCCGGAAGCCAAGAGCCATCGACAATGCGGACCCCAAGCCTGCCCTAACCCCCCAAAACCCCAAACCCAAAATAGCCCGCAACCCGAAAACATCCGAAGCGCTTTTGGGATGCCGCATTTGCCTCAAAACAGGAGCAAGGCAAAAGTTGCCTTGTGTCCTAGGAAGTTTTGGGGACAACCTCGCGGGACTCATTTATGAGGGCTTGTTGCGAGCTATGGGAGGAAAGGAGTATACCGCAGCGGACCCACAAACCGAAATCTTGAACAACCCGTGTCTTTGCGCCCATGGCAACCGAAAAACAAGCCCATTTTCGACGATGACAGTCCTAGACCCCACAGTGCAGTGTGGCCGATTTGCTGACCCATCCTTAGTTTCCAGTGGAATGGGCCAAGTCGGCTTCCGCGAACAAATGTGGCAGCCGATCATGCGCGTCAGCGCTGCTTGGTAAGCTTAGCTCTCTAAGGCTTCAGGTGTTTTTGGGGTTTAGGCGGTTCATGGGCTCAGTCCTTATCGAGAGAAGTTAGAGCATGATGGTTTGTTGCAAAGCCCCATCATAAAGCGCGAAGCCGGTGCTGCGAAGTGCTGGTCGGTGTCCACCAAGTTCGTGGCATGTCTGCGGGGTTCGGGTTAGAAGTTATTCTGCCGGCCCACATCATCCCAAGGATGAAGGATGGTCCCATATTATATGGTGCAATATGCCTTTAACGCGTCAAAGACGGACAGAAAGGCAAGAGGCCCACCGGAGCAAAGGAGCCAAACAGTGCTGTGATGACCGTGTTTTTTTTGTTGAGGACTTGGCAAGTGATGGACTACAGGCTGTTGCCAGCCTGAGGTAGGTATGCATATCAGTTCAACTACCTTCTGACGCATAATGTAGCTTTTATGCAAGCAACATGTCACATCTATGGTCCGGACTTGAAGGTTCATATCTAATTGGACATACCGCTCTTTGTACGCAAACCCCACGGCCTCGACAGCCAGGCCGGTGGGACGTTCACGTCGGCGGTCCAAGCGGTGCCACTCGGAGTTTGCACAGTCGGGCTGCGGGTACGACAAGCGACTGTGGGTTGAGGAAGAAGACGCCTGAGGGCACCGACCCGTATGAACCCGCAGCGAAAGTGAGCTTTGGCCCTTGAGCCCTGTTTGCGTGCCAGTTCATCAGAGTAAGTCCCTGCATTGTCTCCAGGCTGTGCAAAACCTTCGTTGCCTTTGTCGTCAGTGCTCGTGTGTTGCCAAGTAGGGTCGTGGCAGCTGCCAAAAGTCAGGAAGGGTAAACAAGGGAAGCAGGAGGTTCAGCAAAACGGCGGGCAGCGTGCGAGGGAGTCGGAAAACGGAAAGAATGGAGGCAGCTTGTTCTCTTACCCTTTACGCTTTCGGCCTGGGGCCTCGGTTGATGTGATAAAAATCAGCTTGCTTTGTCCTGTCATGATTGGGTTGATGGCCAAGATTGGTCTTGGAGTCTTGCAAGATCAGTGCGCCATAAATCCGCAGTAGGCTGCAAATCGCTTCTTCTACTGCTGAGCAACCGACTGCTGAGAATATTGTTCGGAACCCTAAGCCCTAAGCCCTAAGCCCTAAGCCCTAAACCCTAAACCCTAAACCCTAAACCCTAAACCCTAAACCCTAAACCCTTGTTGGTGCTTGGCTCTTGTCGCAGCAAGATGAGCATGATGTTCTTTTTTGGAGCCTCGGCTCGCAGCACCAGCTTGGGTCGGTTGTTTAGGGCCCACTAGCTGAGCAGAGCTACTTAACTCCCATAGGGTTTAGGGTTTAGGGTTTAGGTTTAGGGTCTAGGGTTTAGGGTTCTTCCCATGATGCGTCCTTCGTATTCCTTAAAGGTGGAGGCTCGGGGACTCGAGGGCAGCAGCGTCTCTGACACATAGCTTTGTTGCATTCGACAAATGTCTCCATGCAGAACATCTAGACACCGACATTGGCAGCGTCATTGTTGGTTTGCCCAGTTCTGATGATGAGAAGGTGGTTCAGAAGTTCAGTCCTCAGAAATGGAATATGGCGGGGTCATACTATGGAATTTGAGGAGTTGGCCGTAGTAGGCATTCTGACGTGGGAGAAGTTTGCATCGCGTCCTCGCTTTGTTCGCAGGAGGCCGACGCGGTCTTGACACAGACGATCCTGATGGCGAGGCTGGGGATGACTTGCCCTTCGCTTTGACGCCGCGGTCGGAGCAAAAGCAGAGCTGCGAGCTCTGGACTTGGGCTCCGAGACTCCGCTGAGCTGCTTATGAGCAGGCCAGAAGGCTCCCAGATTAGGCCCTTGAGCCGCAACACCAGAAACTGCCTCGGCGCCCTAATTCTCCCTAAGGCCTCACACCCTCGGGAGCGGAAAGCGCAGAGGATCCGAGGTCTGGGCCCATGAAGCGGGCACGGTACATGATGGTACGTCCCCTTCGCGTATGGGGAGTTGAAGTTACCAAGAGGCATGTTTGTCCCTGCACTCACTTCTCGGAGATTGCGCGTCGTTTGTCGTGGTCGGGCGCGCGTTGCACTCATTGCACCTAGACTGTGGCAAGTATTAGACCTGTTGCCCGTGTGGACTCACCTTTGACTGTAGCAAATGTTCTGGGCTTGTGACAAGCCCCGGTCTGTGCGACGGAGCCAAAAGTGCGACAAAGGCTTGTAACAGAAGGGTCGGCCCTGCGACAACTACTCCCTCTGCCCCACCCCATAAGTTTGTAATGCCAGAGATGATTGTTCGTTGGTTCAGTGACGGCGTCAGCCAACCAGTCCACGCGAGCCGCAAACTCTGTTCCTTCGGGCTTCCTCCGGGCTCCCTTCCAAAACCACCTCCGAAGCGTATGGCTTCCAGGCCCCTAAAGCTGCATAAGGGGGCCTCATCCCATAACGTGCTTGCCACTGTTTGACGCCGCTTGCAGTTGACAGAGGCGCGGCTTCACGGAGACCGAGGCCCATTGCAAGAGCCCTAAAGGAGCCTGCCTAGCCTACCTCTGCAGTCAACGCAACAACGTGCTGGTTGGGAAACCGGTTCTTTAGGTTGGCACTTCTTACAGGACTGGATCCGGCAAGGGCGTGCGGACGCCTTCCGTCCGTCGGCAGGTGCCTTCGAATCAAGGGGAAGTGCCGACCGGGCTGCCCTGAAGGGAACTCAAGCCACTCGTTCCAAGTGACAAGATTCTGGGTCAGGAGCTGTGCAGGCAAACCACGAGCCACCATCTCAGAAGAAGCACGTATTTTGGAAGATCTGGCGCTGATGAGCTCCTTGCTTAAACGGCGCCCTCGGAACCTAACAGTCTTCCAACAGAGTTCGAGGGGTCTTGCCTCTACACAGGATTTCCAAATCCCTTTCCCGGGTTGTCGCAGCTTTGACCTTGCAGCCGCTGGGTTGGTTTCACTTGAAGGGAAGGCCTTCTGCTAAAGTATGGCGACAGGTTTCAGAAAAAGGAGGGCGGCCCACTTGCAACGGCCCCTGAGGTAGCACAAAGACCAGTTGAAATCCGGATGTTTTGCTGTTTTCTCAGCACAAGAAGCCACAAAGCATTGACCTCCGTATGTTTAAACTCTGGCGGCCTGACGCCATGCTCTGCGCATGTCATATAAAGTACCTTTTTGATTGCTTACATCTCCGGATGTAAAAGAACTAAAAAGACGTCACCATATGCTCCCCAGAGCAACTTAGAATTAAGAGCCTGTTCTGACGGCCATGTCCGGGATAGTTGCATAGGGCTCTGCGTTGCGGTGCGTTCAAGGCAGCCCCACCCTCACAGCACTGGCTTGGGCTCGTAGCATCAAGCTTGTTGAGCCTCCTAAAGCTTCTGCGCTGCACAAGCGTGCCGCGGGGTACGCCTGCGATGACATGGGCGGTGGGATGTCTGAAGAGTTTTTCAAACTATGGCTTGAAACGGGGCGCAACCCCATTTGTAAACCTTTCGGACCCTGTAAGGACCCTAAGATTGCTGTGCATACAGCCGTGTCAGCCATCAAATTCATCAAATCTTGGAGCATGTTCGAACTATGCTTTACGGGGACGGGTCCCGAAGTGCATACCCGGTTTTGTACTGAACGTCGGTCCAAAACGTGTTTCTGCTTTCATGTCCTGACACCCTCTTTTCGACCCTCCAGTTTGGCCTGGCTAAAGGGATGTAGGTCGCGAGACCATGGCAAACCTTCTCACACACACAGCCACAAAGTTCCTGCAAAGTCTTGAGCTTCATGTCTCTGAGCCATCACAAGCCGAAGCGCCTCAAGTGCCCAAGTCACAAGTCTCTCCGCAGCACTTGCGGGGGAGCAGTGTTGTCTCTGTGCCTAGCTTTCAGGCCGGCCTTTTCTGCTTTAGACCAGAATCTTCAAGCTTAAGGGGGCTGCTAGGATCCAGCCGTGTGCCCCAAGATGGTTCCATCGTCCGAGCTTGTCAGTCCCGAGGCCCTGACCTGAAAGCTTGTGAAAGCCCAAGGGGCCTTAAACCATCCCAAGCTCCCGCCTACGGGGCGCAGGCGGCGAGGACCTCAACGTTCCATGCTGAGCTGAGGTTGAAGATGGTTGCTGTTTGTAGCCATGCTTTGCCCATGTGGCTTTTGTGATTGCTGCGGGGTGGAGGGGCCGGGCTGGCTTGATTGATCCCTGTGTATCGCCTTCTCCGAGTGCGGGAGGTGGCGCGCACACTCCTGCACGCTGGCCGCGCGCCGGGTTTCTGAAGCGCACCTCGCACGGCCTTGCCTTCGAGGAAGTTGGTTCGAATGGCTTGAATGGTTTGCAGGCGCGCCTTCCTTCTCCGCAGAGCAGCCTCGTGGAATCGGCGCTTTTCTTGCATAGCCTTGGCCGTAAGGGCAGCGTCATGTGCGGCCTGCGCTGGAGCGACTGCCATCCAGAGATGCTCCAGCATCGACTAGGGTTTAGGGTTTA